ATCAACCATAACACTGTATCAACCATAATACTGTATCAACCATAATACTGTATCAACCATAACACTGTATCAACCAAAACACTGTATCAACCATAACACTGTATCAGCCATAACACTGTATCAACCATAACACTGTATCAACCATAACACTGTATCAACCATAACACTGTATCAACCATAATACTGTATCAACCATAATACTGTATCAACCATGGCACTGTATCAATCATAACACTGTATCAACCATGACACTGTATCAACCATGACACTGTATCAACCATGACACTGTATCAACCATAATACTGTATCAACCATAACACTATCAACCATAATACTGTATCAACCATAATACTGTATAACCATAACACTGTATAACCATAACACTGTATCAACCATAACACTGTATCAACCATAACAGTAACATGATACGAATATTAATAACTTGTTACTTATGATATAAATCACAACATATGTTTCAAGTGTGGCCATGTAACATGTGTGACAGCAGCAAGACGGAGGGAAGGGGCGAGAAAACACCTGTCGTAATAAATTACTCTGACAGGATCGATACTTGAAGTGATATGCGAGTCAGTTAGAATGTATACAGTCCCGGGAATGTAAAATCCCTTCTGAAATGTTGCGTTAGTAATGAATTCTGATCAAAAGTGTTGATAGTCGAGCGGTTTTGGCAGTGAATTTCCACCTGGCCAGCACGTCAAGTGCCACTCACGGCAGTTATTGCTGCTCATTGAATGATGTGGACAGGTGTTAAACCTGTGTTATTGAAGAGACTCATACTTCTGGTATGCTCCTTTCAGCCCCCACTTCTAGGATGCTCCTTTCAGTCCCCCCTCCTAGTATGCTCTTTTCAGTACCCCTTTCTACTATAGTATCCCTCTTCTAGTATCCTCCCTTCTACTGTAGTATCTTCCCTTTTACTGTAGTATCATCCCTTTGCTGTAGTATTTTCCCTTTTGCTGTAGTATTCTCCTCCTGTATTATCCACCTTCTGTAGTATTCCCCTCCTGTATTATCCACCTGTAGTATTCCCCTCCTGTATTATCCTCGTTCTGTAGTATTCCCCTCCTGTATTATCCACCTTCTGTAGTATTCCCCTCCTGTATTATCCTCGTTCTGTAGTATTCCCCTCCTGTATTATCCTCGTTCTGTAGTATTCCCCTCCTGTATTATCCACCTTCTGTAGTATTCCCCTCCGTCACGACTTTGAGTTACCTGTACCGAGGGTAACCAGCGCGATACAGTAACTCACACTCTCATAATTCTTCACTATACAGGGTTCTCGTTCACCTTCTCATATCCCGCCCACCCAACGCACGCAGGCAAGAACGCATGTACGTATGCTGGTAAGCACGAACGCGCTCACCCTCACGTGTTTTTGGTCATTTTGCAATTTTTGTAAATTTGTATCCAAGATTATCCACTGACGTATTTATACGGCAGATGATTCCATTTATCAGTCTCGTATCTCCCTCCCCTCTCTCCCTTGTCCCTTTTTCCCCTCTGTCTAGTGATCATGTTTCTATTTACTCTTTCATTTTCTTTAACTTCTTCTCGTATAACATCCCATTAATCACGTTCATTGTTTTCCCTTCATTATTCCCCGTTCGTAAACCGGTTATGAATGCAAGTATTGTCTCCTGCTTGACCGGTCTCTGGAGGAGGCAGTATTGGAGACAATGACGCACTGGTAGCGCCAACAGTCTTGTTGGTCATCAGCCAGGAGATGAATGGTAAAATACCGACACGATGGGAAAAATAGATACAAATGCAGTATAATGCGATTCTTTACAACGTTTCGCCCACACACTGGGCTTTATCAAGTCATAAACAGATCTACCTGTGCACAGAGTACCTGAAACCTCACTATGCTCCCTGGAGTTTACCTGGAGAGGGTTTCGGGGGTGAGCGCCCCTGAGGCTCGGTCTGAGACCAGGTCTCGTGGCGGATCAGGGTTTGATCAACCAGGCTCTTACGCTAGCCGCACGCAAACTGACGTACGAACCACAGTCCGGTTGGTCAGGTACTGACTTTAGGTGCCTGTCCAGTGCCTTCTTGAAGACATGTATATACTTACGTACTCTCTGCTCAGGTAGATCTGTCTTGATAAAGCCCATTATGTGGGCGAAACGTTGTAAAGGATCTAATTGTACTTCATTTGTATCTATTTTTCCCCACCTTGTCGGTATTTTACACCATTTATCTCCTGGTTGATGATAAACAAGGCTGTTAGTGCTGCGTAGGCTGCTCATTGGTCGTGCCGAGGGGGAAATGATGATCCTGGAATAGAGTTCTGGAAGACTACAGGTAGGAGAGTACTGACTGTGAGCGTCATAACCTGGAAGAATGGCGTACATTCGTAGAAATGTGGGAGGTAGTTTGTAATTCATGTATATTGATAAGTAGACTTATTTATGTAGACTAGTGTACGTGTACAGCCTCGCGTCCTTTGTGTGTCCAGTAGTCCGTTCCATGTGCATCCAGTAGTCCGTTCCCCGTGTGACCAGCGGTCCGTTCCATGTGCATCCAGTAGTCCGTTCCCCGTGCGACCAGCGATCCGTTCCGCGTGTGTACACCTGTCCAGGCGACCTTCCGTCCGTACTAGTAGTACTTCCTGTTCATCCACCATTTCCACCTGTTTTTGTGAGTGGGACCACCACTCCAAGCCTCGCCACCACTCCTAGCCTCGCCACCACTCCTAGCCTCGCCACCACTCCTAGTCTTGCCACCACTCCTAGCCTCGCTACCACTCCTAGCCTCGCCACCCACTCCGAGCCTCGCGTTACCTCCACTGGACAGAAATTACCACCAAGATTACTTCCGGTTGACGAAAACCCTGCAAACATTACTTGTCGCTTCGGGATGCCTCTGGCACGTGATCCCAAGGGATCCTGAAAGATTGTTTAGCCTTGAATAGGGTCTCTCGTAACTAGGTGCTAGTGTGTTTCGACTCGCAACGGAAGGACCCTTGGTTCGATGTTGTGGCGGGTGGAGACGTTTGGGCATGTTTCCTTACACTTTTTGTCCCTGTTCACCCAGCAGTACGTAGGTACCTGGGTGTTAGTGTTGTAGGTGGTATCCTGGCATTCTCCTGTTCTCTCTCTTCACCACTGCTTTACCACTCTATCTCTGTATTCCATTCTACTCTCCCTTACTTCCTCCTCCACACTCACTCCTCTCTTACCACCTCCTCCACACTCACTCCTCTCTTACCACCTCCTCCACACTCACTCCTCTCTTACCACCTCCTCCATCACCCTCACCTACTCTCCAAATTCGCTCGTGCCATTGCTATCTCCTGACATTCTCTTCTCTTGTCTCTTCCCATTTCCTTTACCACCGCTTTGCCTAACCTCATCCCTTTTCCTCCTCCCACTCTCTCTTCCCCATCCCTTTGTTCCTTCATTCACCTCGTCTTTCCTCCCAACTGTAGCTTCGTAACTCCACTTAAGGAATGCCTTCAGGATGGTGCGTATGTTAAATCTCATTTCATGTTCTGCAGGAAAATATGAGTTCCGGTGTGAACTTTGGATTTCTGGAAGAAATTTTGGGTTATGGAAGAAGGAACTTTGGGCTCTGGAGGGAAAGTTCGGCTTCTGGAAGAAGGAATTTTGACTTTTGGGGAAAAGTTCGAGCTCCGGGAAAGGTTCTGCAAGGGACTGTAAGAAGCTCTCTTTTAGCAGTGGTAAAATGTTTTAGAGACTCGTTGCCAGTGGTGTGTGTGTTCACTCACCACTAACGCAGCCAGCTGAGTTGACGAGTATGCCTTGGCGTTTCAGGGTGTCTACCTTGATGTTTCCAGGTACGTACCTTGACCTTGATTTTTCCAGGTGGGTACTTTGATATCTCCAAGTGCCTTGAAGAGGGTTTCTGATACGAAAATATGTTTTTTTTTTTTTTTTTGCCCATGTGACATTGAAATGTTCTTGATCTGTGTCGCGTGTTGTTTGCTGTGGGTCGTAACTCCGTTATTTAGTTATATCCATCGTCACACACTGTTGTTCTGCCGTGTGCATCTTACATGAAATAAGATACACGATAAATAACAAAAAGGCACAATACCGTGACTGGAACGATACACAAATAACCCGCACATAAAAGAGAGAAGCTTACGACGACGTTTCGGTCCGACTTGGACCATTGACAAAGTCACACTTTGTCAATGGTCCAAGTCGGACCGAAACGTCGTCGTAAGCTTCTCTCTTTTATGTGCGGGTTATTTGTGTAAGATACACGATTGCAAACAAACCACGCAACGGGTGAGTTTCAAACCTATAGCAAGAGAGTCATAAAACTCACAGCATTAGGATTCACTTGTCATGAGCTCAATTCTCACCCGCTCCGTGGTTTGAACCTCCTGGGCTCCACGTGAGGATCCTTATAGAGCTCCATGGAAAAATAAACAGTCAAGAATCTTCATTATCCTACATAACACACACTTGCAAGTCCTCTTAGATAAAACCTCCACAACGTTCTCCACCTGACTCTCCACTCTATACTCTTGTACTTTTTACACAGGTATCTTCTATGGGAACCACTGGTCACCGCATAGAGAAGAACCGAGCCAGGACCCGTCCGGGCGAACCTACCTGTACCTGTTTACTTAGGGGGGCCTGATGGCGTCAGCAAACTGTTGTACATAGAATGTTTTGCTATGGAAAGCATAGGGACTACAGCAAGACCCTGATCGTGGCCACCGAACAGCTAAATTAGATCGACATATTCGAGATCCTTAAGACCCGTGTCAGGACGCAGTTCCTGACGAATCGGTCAGTTTATCCAGGTAGATCTGTTTGACTTGATAAATCCCATTGTGTGGGCAAAACGTAGTCAATAAAGGATCACATTATGCTCCATTTGTTTATTTTTTCCATTGTATCTACCACTACTATCTCTTCTCCCTCTCTTGTTCTCGTTCTTTTTTCCCGCTCTCCTATATATACTGACTCCCTCACTCTTTTCTGTCAGTGTGACTTTGTGAATGGTCCAAGTCGGACCGAATCGTCGTCGTAAGCTCCGCCTATGTGCTGATTATTTGCGTATCTCCGCTTCCTTAATGTTCACTCCTGCTGACAGACACTTCGCCTCTCACCATGACTGCGCTCGTGTGATTAAGTATTCCTCCAGTCAGTCTCCTCCAGTTATATTGTCTCGTTTTTAAATGTATAAATCTGTCCTTGGTGCTGTGCCGTGTTAAAGGACGTCTGGCAGTTCAGGAAAATGCTATTAGCCGGTCCTCTTTCCCCTCTAATTTCAGTAGTTGTCACACATTAATCTGAAGTTGTGAGTCAGGATTTTTAATTCTTAAAACTGTGTTGCTGTTTTTCAGATAATTTATGTTGCTGTTTTTACACAGTGTTGTTTTTACACACATTGTGTTTTTACAGTGTTTGTTTTTACACACATTGTGTTTTTGCACACATTGTGTTGCTGTTTTTACACACATTGTGTTGCTGTTTTTACACACGTTGTGTTGCTGTTTTTACACACGTTGTGTTGCTGTTTTTACACACATTGTGTTGCTGTTTTTACACACATTGTGTTGCTGTTTTTACACACATTGTGTTGCTGTTTTTACACACATTGTGTTGTTTTTGCACACGTTGTGTTGCTGTTTTTGCACACGTTGTGTTGCTGTTTTCACATATTGTGTTGCTGTTTTTACACACATTGTGTTGCTGTTTTTGCACACGTTGTGTTGCTGTTTTCACATATTGTGTTGCTGTTTTTACACAGATTGTGTTGCTGTTTTCACATATTGTGTTGCTGTTTTTACACAGATTGTGTTGCTGTTTTTGCACAGATTGTGTTGCTGTTTTTGCACAGATTGTGTTGCTGTTTTTGCACAGATTGTGTTGCTGTTTTTACACACATTGTGTTGCTGTTTTCAGATGAAAGTTAAAATTTTCATTATTTTCTCTTCAGACTTTCAGTTCGACGTGTTGCAAGATATATTATTGTGTGCCTAAGTAATGTTCGTCTTACATCAGTCTTTAACATTGAGATTACATACGGTGTGTCCCGTGTGTGAGGTAGTTTAGGTGTTTGTGTTGACTCGTCAAGAGGCGCTTCTTGAGGGATGCTTCCCAGGGGTGAGTGCCTCCTCGGCCCGGTCTCAGACCAGGCCTGGTAACTCGGGATGCTTCCCAGGGGTGAGTGCCTCCTCGGCCCGGTCTCAGACCAGGCCTGGTAACTCGTGTTGAGTGTTGCGCCTAGTTCCTTGTGGGGTTCCAGGGGAAGATATATATCTTTCTCTTGGTTATTACTGTCTGGTAATTTGATCTATTGAAAAAAAAAATTATGGTTCTCAGAGTGTTGCATCTGACCACGCAGGAAGCAACCCCCACCAACCGACTAACACCCACATATACCTATTTGCCACTAGGTAAGCAGGGACAACAGGTGTAATTATCCCTGACGATTCCAGGGCACGATACAGGGAAGGGAGTTGGCGATACAGCTATTGGGAGTCCGTGATACATGCTCGTCACCCACCCTCAACACAACGGGACACATACCAGCTCACGGGTAATTACACCTGTCGTTATTACCTGCAAGTCTTGGTAATTACTCGTGGGCAACAACTTCGCCGTAATGTCTGTATATGAACTTAAACACGAGAGAACTGCGTTAGTGATGTAATTCTAAGCGAGGGAAGAGTTGGGAACTAACTCAGTTTTGCAGGACATGTTGGCTTATCCACCTGTAAGCAACAAACACACATTCCAAAGAAAGTTTTTATCGGCACAACGTTTCGCCCTATAAAAAGCTTTATTATGTCACGTTTCGCTGTGTATAGAGCTTTATTAAGTTATGTTTCACTGTGTAGAGCTTTATCAAGTCGTGTAGAAATTGTACGTGTTAACTTTGTAGTATTAACTAGCTGCTGTGTGACTATAAAGCTCTACGTGACTTGATAAAGCTCTACGTGACTTGATAAAGCTCTACAATATCTTTCCCAATATCACTTCAGTAACCAATTCTTGACACTGGATGTTCCCTGCACCAGCCTTGGTGCTATTGATGAGCTCTTGGTCCAAGGAATTAATGCCTCCCCTTAGATTAAAGCTGATTACCTTCATTCTCTAGGCGTTGTACGGCCCTTGAGGGTTTGTTTAAGTGTGATTAGAGTCTGTATTACAGATGGTGACATTTTGTTTACTCTGATAGCTCTATAGGATGTGAGTCATGAGGAAGATGAGTAGATGAGAGGGAAATGGGTGAGAATGTTGTGGGTTCCAGGGAGATGGTGGGTAAGTTCCAGAAAGATTAGCTATGAGGCCGGTATGGGTTCCAGGATGAGCTGTGAGGCTGGTATGGGTTCCAGGAAGATGGGCCGTGAGGCTGGTGTGAGTTCCAGTGTTCCACTACATCAGCCATGGAACAATTCCTCCCTCACCTTCGCCCCAGGAAGCTGGGATTGCGGAACTGGGTGACGAGAGAGGTGCGTGTGTGGGCGTACCATCCCGCCCCTCCGGTAATGATATGCCGAACACCCACCCACACACTCCCGCCTTACTTGGGTGGCGACAGCCCCTCTGGGCGGATTATGGGAGGGATCCACTGTACTTATCAGCAACGGGCGGCTGCTTGCATTTTTTCCCTAGTATCGTCCTTAGATACACAGTCTTGCGAAGAAATCTTTCTACTCAGAGCTTCAGTCCTTACAGCAGGACTGGAAGACTGATGCAGAGAGCTTCAGTCCTTCCAGCAGCATTGAAAGACTGATATAGAGAGCTTTCAGCATTCCTGGAGTATTGATGCACAGATTAAGACCTGACTATTTTGGCGTTGTCACTGAAACGTTATGTACCAACACTCAGCGTGACAGTCAGCTTGTATGTTCCTTGTGGCTCTCTCATTCTCTCTTTCATTCTCCCTTTCCCTTAGGTTTCACTTCCCTTCCCCTCTCCAGTAGACGCCCCTATCATGTGTTGACGTCCATTTGATGTGCTGCAGCGATACTCTGTCTGTCTCTCTCTCTCTCTCTCTCTCTCTCTGTCTCTGTCTCTGTCTCTCTCTGTCTCTCTCTCTGTCTCTCTCTCTGTCTCTCTGTCTCTGTCTCTCTCTCTGTCTCTCTGTCTCTCTCTCTGTCTCTCTCTCTGTCTCTCTCTCTGTCTCTCTCTCTGTCTCTCTCTCTATCTCTCTCTCTGTCTCTCTCTCTCTCTCTCTGTCTCTCTGTCTCTCTGTCTCTGTCTCTCTCTCTCTCTCTCTCTCTCTCTCTCTCTCTCTCTCTCTCTCTCTCTCTCTCTCTCTCTCTCTCTCTCTCTCTCTCTCTCTCTCTCTCTCTCTCTCTTTCTCTCTCTCTCTCTTAGTTGTTTAGTTTATTTTGTTCGTTCTCGTTGGTAATATCAATATAGATATTCCCTGACACTGTTATTCCCCTCTTCTGTTACTGATCCCCTCGTTATTCGAGCCATACCGCTTGTTCTCTCCCACTTCCCAAGCGGTACAGCTTGTTTTTCGTCACTTCCCGAGCTGTTCCGCTTGTTTTTCGTCACTTCCCTAACGGTACAGCTTGTTTTTCGTCACTTCCCGAGCTGTTCCGCTTGTTTTTCGTCACTTCCCTAACGGTACCGCCTGTTTTTCGTCACTTCCCGAGCGGTACCGTAAGTTTTGTCACACTACGAGTGGTACCGCTTGTTCACGTTAATTTAGGTTAGGCTAAAGAACTTCAATCTAAACAAAATCCAAGTTTATCGATTGCATCCCTTCAAGGGTGGCAGGGTGTGCTGATGCCGGTGAAGCGCTCTTAATGTAAGGAACCGGAGCTCTTCTTTGTAAGGGTTTAGTGTTCACTCATAATGATGATAATAGCTGATAACTAAGAATAATAGCGACAATAATAGTAATAATAATGATACTAATAATTGTAATATTAACAGTAATAATGATACAGCAGTGATAAGAATAACTATATAACAGTAACATCCCTCTCGTTTGTATAGAGCGTTGCTAAACGTTTACCGTCGATTTCTGTTAGTCTTGGATCTTCTGTTTTCGGAGTCTCGTTTTCTGTTCCGAATTTATAGTCAAGCTTGTATAGATATAATGTTTTCCCTATACCAAAAGCCATTTTGTTTATTTTTTTTTTTAGAAATGCTATCTCACGTGATATTATCTTCTTGGGACGTGTTTGGACGAGGACATGTTTGCACTGTTACTCATTTCTATTTAGCGTCGCTTGTATTAAATTCTCTCAGCCAACTTGTCTAAATTCAGGTGTCAAGATTTGTTACCTAACCATAACATGTACACAAATTTACATATTCCATTTACAGGTACAGAGATTTACATATTCCATCATTTAAGTCACATGTATACAGACTTACATATTTCATCATTTACAGAGGTGACAGGAGCTTCTTAGTGAGGAAGATAAGAACAAGAGCTGTTGAGCGCGGCCCCTTCCAGTTTTTAAATCAGATTTAATTGCGATAATAATAGTAATGGACGGATGGGTAAACACAAATATTACCACGATATTCACAGAGTGGAAAATGTCCTTCAACACTGTTATTTTTGTTCATCTTTTCATATATTTACTCTTTATTTTGTCTTGAACTTAGATGTACTCGTAAAGATTTTTTTTTTATTTCTTCGTGTACACACTGTCTCACCTGGCGGTGAATATAAGTACCTGTGTGTTAACTCACTGTCGTGGGTCGCATCCGGGGGGGGGGCGGCACTGCTTGAAAAATATCATTGTGTAAGAAAATGATAGTTCAGGCGGAGGTTGTATCCTGGGCAGAATGTGAATGTTTAGGAAATTCCCCTAGATAATGTAATTTTCCCCAGATAATGTAAATTTCCCCAGATAATGCCGGAAGTGTTCAAGGAAGTGTTGGGTAACGTAGCAACATTCTGCTTTGTATGCAAACACTGTAGCGTATACACACTTGTGTATCCACACACACACACACACACACACACACACACACACACACACACACACACACACTTTAGTGTAACTCGTGTTCTGATGAAAAAAATGTATCTCCCCTTTCTTCAACAAATCACTGTACAGTATCTAAATTGGATTAAGTTTAACCCCCAGCTAGTTACTAACAACGGCAATACCTGCAGGAGATGCAGCCGAACAAACAACTGTATAGAAGTTGTTTTT